TCTGTCTCAAAATAAAATAAAATAAAATAAAATTATGGTGATGGTCACACTGTTACCGAAAACTCAGCACTTGTCCATGAGGCCGGAGAAGAACGAGGACAAGCGGTTTTGGGAGGAAGGAAAGAGTTTGCTTTGCTGGCAAAGGAGGAAAAATGGCAGACCTTCTTGTCTGAAAATCCCAAATTTCCCCAAACATTCACAGACACACGGAGCTTCTGAAGGATGGGTTCTTGGGTTCAGGCAATTGCAGTTGATAATCTGATTATCCCATCTCTGCTGAAGACAATCTCGTGAACTCCGCCCAGGATCTCCCTTTACCAGGTCGGGCTGGGCCATCTCCTGTTGCACAAATAAACAAAAGACTTACCCTGCCCCTCCCAACCACTGAGGCTGAGATGCAGCCTTTAGAGACAGAGAATATTTTTGCCATTTTTTTCAGGCCATTCCCTCTGTTACAACACAACTATGCCTATACTACATATATATGCACGTATACAAAATGTACTAAAAAACCGTTGAACTGTGTAGTATGTGAATCATATGTCAATTAAGCTTTATCAATTTTTTAATAAAAAAAGAAAAATGCCAATTGGGCTCAGCTATCACCTCCTCCAAGAGTCCCCCCATCCCAAAATAAATTCCCTATTTATTCTAGTTCCTCTTTGTTTACTTCGTAGGCTGTTATCAGTGAGCCGTTTGCGGTTGTTTCCTCTTCTGTCTTTGGTCTCACTCCCCAACCCCCACCCCCGCCACTCCCAGGAAAGCCTCTTTCTGCCTAAGCAAACTGCGAAGCCTTCAAAGGTGGGGGCTGGATCTTGCTGAATTCCCAGCGCCTCCTGCCCGCTCCACCTCCCACGCCCGTTGCCCCAGGACTTTGTATGAACTGGAGGCAAGCAGATGGAGTTTGAATCCCAGCTACTACGAAACCCAAATCGGATCCCCAATAACAACAACTAGCGTTCCAGTGCTTAATCAATATTCGTGCTGCACCATCTCTAGGAGAAAAATATTATTTTTATTCCCATTTTACAGATGAGAACTCTCAGGTACGTGGCTCGAGACCTCCGTACCACAGCTCCCGGGCAGAAGACGCCCGGAGCACGACGAAGCGCCGAGATACCATCTTAAACACTGCAGCCTTCCCAGGTAGGGTTCAAGGCTTCGGCATCCCGGGAAAGAGCAACGCTTGAACCTGTTACCTAGACCAGCAGGGTGCCTATAATTCCCGGCGTGCCATGCGCTCCCACGCTCTATTACGGCCACGGTGGAACAGGTGGGGCTAGCCTTTCTGCCTTCTGGGAAATGTAGTCTTGCCGTGAAGAGAGGCAAGGCTATGCGTGGTAGGCGGACCCGGAGCCAATAAAGAAGCTGATCTTCTTGAGTGCAACGCCGAGAAGCCAATAGGCGCGTGGATTAAAGGGGGCGGGACTTCCGGCGGTGAAGTCGTGGTGAGCGGCTGAGGGAAGACAGGAATTTCCTTTTGCGAGTGGCGGCGAGGTTGGAGAGGGCGCCATGAAGGCCTCTGGCACAGTTAAGACGCGGGCAACGGGGCTGAAGGCTGGGGGACGGGGCGCGGGCCTCATCGGGGGCCTGGGGAGGTGGTGTGGGTCGGGTCGGTGCTGCGCGCCCCCGTTTGAGTTCCCTTTGGCCACGCGCCGCCGTCCCGAAGTGCAGCCAACATGGCGGGCGCCGCGTGGGGAGACCTGTGCGTGGCTTGGCCCGGCTCGCAAATCGCGGAGACCGAGGATGCTGGGTCTCCTTTCCAGTGGAGGGAACAAGTAGCGCAGCATGGAGGCGGGCCACGGCAACTCGTAGAGTCTCCAAGCCTCAGTTTCCCCATCTGCAAAGCGGACACGTTGGGGGAGCAGTATGGCATGGCTGTGAAAAGCAGATGGAAATTATAAACAACGATCTGAAACGGGGAGCGTGGGGCTTGTCGCTGTGACGTATACTACGCAAAATCAGGATGCTATGGCGCAGAGACGAGTGATCCTATGTACAGATCTCACTGGGAAAGAGGCAGGCTCCCCCGTTCCTTTCTTGAATGTGCGGGCTGGAAGCTGGTGGGTCAGGTTCAGAGCAGGAAGTAGGAGCCAAGTCTGATAGTTGGGGCTAGTTTTCATTGACATTAAAAGCTGACAAATTATTTATGGAAGAAGCTTTCTTGTTGTATGACAGGGCTGGGATTTGGCAATTTCCTCACTTTTTACAGTGAACTCACCTTCTCTGGTCCAAACCTTTGGACTGCAGCTGGGAAAACAGGCGGCTGAGGGTTGAATGGCAGCAGCGCAGGGAACCCAGAGTGGGGCGGGAGGGGCCTTGAGTCTCATCCTTGTTCCACCTGGAGTGGGCCGTGAGATCCCAGCCTGTTCGCTGTCTCTGGACCCCGAGTGAAAGAGGATGATGGTTCGATGTTGTGAGCTGTGGAGTGGCTTACGGGGACCGCAGAGCAGTTCAGGATTGCAGCAGGGAGGAAGGCTGTGGGCTAGGCCTTGGCTTTCCTGGCCTGAAGCTCTTAGCCAGGGCAAAGGACAGGCAGGCATCTCAGTTAATACTCTCCGAATCCCCTCCCTGTCCTCACTTGATTTTTTGGATAAAACTCAGGTCAGTGCTGTGACCCACAGTCACCAGAATTCCACTCAAAGGCCCTGGGACTTGCCTGCCTCCTTGATTTCTTGAATCCTGTCATCACCGGACTTGAGAAAGGGAACAGGGGATCTCCCCTTTGCCTCTGGGGGTTCTGGGTGCCGACCCTCCCTCACTCCTGTTTCCTTTCAGCTGCGAGAGTACAAGGTGGTGGGGCGCTGCTTGCCTACCCCCAAATGCCACACGCCACCCCTCTACCGCATGCGGATCTTTGCACCTAACCACGTTGTCGCCAAGTCCCGCTTTTGGTACTTTGTATCTCAGCTAAAGAAGATGAAGAAATCTTCAGGAGAAATTGTCTACTGTGGGCAGGTATGGAATGGAGTCACACCTTCTTATGGGGCATCATGCCCCACAGAGCCCTGGGCCGTGTTCGTGTTTAGGCCACAGGACTGGACCCGCGGTTCTGTGTCATTGTCCTGATGAGAAAGCCTGGGACCCAGGGAGGGGGGTGGCTGGCATCTGTAAAAGGGGGAGAGGTGCTATCACCTGGGTACCAGGTGGCAGCAAGTCTCAGGAGAGCTGTTTGGGGAGGGTTCTGGAGCTCTGTCGGTCTCAGTGGGGAAGCAGCTCCACCCGCACTGCTCGAGCCCTCGCATGGCAGGTTCCCTGAGGGTGCCCGAAGGTGCGGGCACCAGGGAACTAAGGCACAAGAGTCTGGTCCCCAAGGAGGCCTGGAGGCTGGGCTGTCCTTTAGAGGCAGAGGTGTAGGTTCAACAAGGGTGGGGCTGGGGCGAGACCTGTTTGCTGCTTTTGTCTCATCCTGCGTCCTCTCCCTGGCAGGTGTTCGAGAAATCCCCCCTCCGGGTGAAGAACTTCGGCATCTGGCTTCGCTACGACTCCCGCAGCGGGACCCACAACATGTACCGGGAGTACCGGGACCTGACCACCGCGGGTGCCGTCACCCAGTGCTGTAAGCTGCCAGGCCCTGCCTCCCGCCTTTAGACTCCCCCGGCCCCCTCAGACTGAGGCAGGGCAAATGCCAGAGGCTTCCGGGTGGCGGGGGCATTTGCTTGGATGGCGGGAGGAGTAGAGGATGCCCCACGCCCCAGATGTGCTTTTTTCTGGAGCCTGGCAGCAGGTGCAGCTGCGGACTCTGAGGGGACCTGACCAGGCCGGGTCACGCATCACATGCGTCATACCCTCCCTCTTTCGGGTCTGCCTCTCGTGTAGCCTGGGTCCCTCTCACAGCTGCTTTCGGGAGCCCACTTAAAACCTAGTTCAACCCCCGTCGGTGCTGGGAGCTGGCACCACGTGTCCCAGCACTAGCGGAGTTCACCTGCTGGGCTCCGAGGCCCCCACGCCTCCCCGCTTGCACCCAAACCCAAGAATCACTGTTTCTCGTAGCAGTGGTTTAAACAGAGGTGCAAACAGCAAGTGGATCTTGTCGCCTTTGGGGAGCTCTGGCCGTGCCCCTCAAAGTGAATTTGGAGGTTCTACACTCCTCGTGGCTAGTGCCTGCTGGGGCCAGAGCCTGTGGCCACCTAGGCCCCCAGTCAGCCCCAAGCTGGGGCCCCCACGCAGTTGCTGTGTTTGACCGGACATGCCAGGTCACTAGCAGGCGCTGCATAGATTTGCCAGCAAACTCGGTCTCCCTGCCCCCTCCCGCTTTGCGCAGACCGGGACATGGGCGCCCGGCACCGCGCCCGGGCCCACTCCATCCAGATCATGAAGGTGGAGGAGATCGCGGCCAGCAAGTGCCGGCGGCCGGCCGTCAAGCAGTTCCACGTGAGTGCCCGGGGGGCGGGCCCGGGAGGCTGGAAAGAGGCTCCTGCTCTGACGCAGGAACCCTGTGGGGGCAGCCACACTTCAGTGACCCCCCGAGGACAGGGCTAAGAGTCCTCCAACCCCCTTACCCTCCTGCTCACAGGACTCCAAGATCAAGTTCCCGCTGCCCCATCGGGTCCTGCGTCGTCAGCACAAGCCGCGCTTCACCACCAAGAGGCCCAATACCTTCTTCTAGGTGCGGGGCCTCCCCGGGGCTGCTCAAATAAACTCGAGAGCGCGTGGGTTCTCCAGCCTGTTTTCTTTGCTCGCTCTGCAGAGCTCCAAAGGGCCCTCGGAGAGGCCAGCCCGGGGTCACCTGTGTTCCCTGTGTCCTAGGAGAGTCCTCAGTGCAAACAAATCCTCAGGATCCTCCAGGAGAGGTTGAGGCCCCGTCCCCCAGCCCCTCCTGTGTGCTCACCTCCCCCCAAGTCCAGTGGGGGCTGTCAGGCCACCCTTGGCTACAGGCTGCAGGGTGTGCTGTAGGCCTTAGGGTCCCTGAGTCTGTCCCCGCTATCTGGTCAGACACTGGCCTCCGGTGGTTCCCTCCTGACCCTGGGCCCTGGGGAGAATGCTCAGAGAGAGTGGGGTTGAGATTCCCTCCCCACATGGAACCTGGGGCTCTGACGCCTGAGAGTCTCAGAGCAGACACGAGGGGGCAGCCTAGGGAGTGGGGCCTGCTGCGCCGGGGCTCTGTGGCCCTTTTGCAAGTCGGCAGCCTCTTTGATGCTGCCCTAACCTTGCCCAAAGAGGTCAGGATCTCAGCCAGGGAGTCGTCTCCAGGAAACTGCCTCAGGCCTGGAAAATTCCAGGCACGAAGCTAATCCCCCCTGGGGGTGGCTGCCTGGCTGGGCCTCTCCACCAGATGAATGCTGAAACACTGAAAGGGGGAGCCTCAGGCCTGGAGACAGGACCTCGCAGGCGACAGACATAGCTGGCTCCTTCCTTCTCGGGGCCTTGCACTGCTTGAGTGCTCTGCCCTGAACGCCTGGTCCACCTCACTGAGGTGTGTAAGCCACACACCTAGTCAGTGTTTCTGTCTCCCATGAGACAGAGGGCAGGGACCACATGTGTCACCCATTGTGTCCCCAGAATAGGCTCAGTGAAACTTTGTTGGGTAAATGCTTGGGGGGCAGGACCTGGGCAGGGCATTCATGGGCGACCTACCCTGTGTCTGTGCCGTGTGGGGTGGCTGGCAAGCCACTGGCCTGGGTTTTGCTGTTACTGAAGGCTGGTCAAGCGAAGCAGCAGGAGTGGAGGGGGACAAAGGAGTCTCTGACTGGTCATGGTCAATTAGTCATAAACGCCACTACTTGGGCCACTCCTGGACCAAATGGCACTATGGACGTTCCAGTGCGCGTCCCATGATGTGGACCCGTCCGCAGCAGCCTTGTCTCCGGCTTTGCCCAGGGCCCATTGCTCTACCAGGCTGCTGGTCTTTTCTTACTGTTTTGTAAGAGCTCTTTACATATGCAGGGCAAAAGCACAGGGAAAGTCTCAGATAAGTCTTCCAGGACATCTTTTGATGTTCCTTACAGCATACTTGGGCAGAGGGGCGCAGCTAAAATTTTTAAAATTTTTGCCTAGTCTCAATCTTCTGTGGCTTCTGGCACAGCAGGAGCGCCAAGTTTAGATGCCACCTAGGAAAGAAGATATTTTCCCAGCCTCCCTTTCGGTCAGGGTTGGCCGTGTGATATTAACAGTAGAGACATGCCATTTCAAGAAATGCCCACCTGGCTGGCATGTGGGCACGATGGCCAATGCTACAGCAGCTGTTTGGGGGCTATGAGGGCGGCACAGGAACAGAGGAGGAGCTGGGGTGCCTGACCCCGTGCGGTGGCTCGTGCGGTGGCTCCCGCAGCCCAGGCCCGAGCCTCCGCCTCCGCATGCCCTGAGCCTTAGGGTCTCTGTATAAGGTGAGGGCGGCATGGTACGAGTTAGAGGACAAGAAAGGCCGGGAGGGGGCAGGCCAGGGCCCCACCAGCCATCTGTCCATTTGCCCACCATCCGCCCACCCTTCCAAGTAAATTTCCACTGTCCGTTTATCTGTCCCTGTCAGTTCCGCAGCCGTCTGCCCATCTGACCCTGCCCAGTCACCCACCCGTCCATCTCCTGTCCACCATCCCACGTTCCAGCCCCAGTCATCCTGGAGCCCTTGTGTTGCGCAGGGGCCCATGTTAATTCCGGCGGGGGAGGCTGACGGGACAAACAGACCCTGGTCCTTGTTGGGAGGGCCCTGTCGAGAAAGAACCGAAGTGCGGGACCAGCCAGTGCAAGGGCCTGGAGGGGAAACAGGCTCTTCCTGGTGGCTCGTGAGACGGCAGTCCTGCCCCTGCTCGCCCAGGTAGCCCAAGTGTGAGCGAGGGCGGCCTCCCAGGAACCCGGCCACCTCTTCAGGTGCTGAGACCCTCCAGGTCCTGTTCCTGGACAGGGTTGGGTGCTCCGGGGGCGAGACACCTGCCCTGCACCCCCAGTCCTGACTCAGGACCACTGGCATCACGGCAGGCAGGACAAGTGGGGGCCCCAGGAGATGGCAGACCCAGATCCTGAAACCAAGAGAGACTGAGGAACGTGGAATCTGGGACCCTCAGTCCTTAGACTTGTGGAATCTTACAGGCAAGGACAGCAAGTGCGACGAGTTTGCATTTATTGATCGTGGAGTCCAAGTTCGAGGACAAACTGCATGTCCTTGAAGACTCCCAGTGAACTGGGTCCAAATTCCGCTGTGGCGGTTGTCACTCTCTAGTTCACAGGAGATTTGGTGTCCAGGGCCGGACAGGGCCACCCAGCCGGTCATGCTGGAGCCAGAGCAGCTCACAGCCTGTCACCCCTGACCCCCGCCCTGTCTCCAGGGAGCCAAGGGAACCCTGGGGAGACCCTGGCAGCAGGTGGGGTGGGGCAGCGCCCCCTCCTCTACCTTCTCACACTGGCCCTTCTCAGCTGTCTCCTGGGCTCCTGCCTGTCCCCTCCAATGACAGCAATCACAGAGTCTTGGAAGGTGTGACTTGCTTCTCCCCACCTTCCCCCTCCCCCTGGGCAGGAGATGGCCCCTCCCACTCCACAGGGCTCCCCACTCCGGGCCGCTTCTGGAATTCCAGAACACGTTCCAAATCCACCCGCTTCTCCCCACTGCCAGCCCCACCTGGCATATGGCCGGTTTTTCAGAACCTAGAAATCTTAGCGGGCTCTCCGCCTGCTGCAGACTCTCCTGTGGCTGCCCAGCGCCCTCGGAATAAAACCCACCCCCACCCAGGCCCGAGAGATGCCCTGTGGCCTCATCCCTCATTCACTGCTTGGCCGTCCAGGCTTCTTGGCTGGCCCTCAAACTCACTCCTTCCCACCTCAGGGCCTTTGCGCTGGCGGTCCCTGCCTAGAGCCCGCCCTTCCACCAGCTCTGTCCGTGCCCAGCTCGTTCTCTGCCTGCAGGTCTCCACTCCGCTGGGGCCCAGAGGCCCCACAGAAAGTCGCCCCGAAGCAATCTCCATGTCTTATCGTCCTCCTGTCTCGGCCTCCTGAGCAGCTGGGACTACAGGCGCGCACCACCACTCCTGGCTAATTTTTAAGATTTTTTGTAGAGATGGGGTCTCGCTATATTGCCCAGGCTGGACTCGAACTCCTGGCCTCAAGTGATTCTCCCCCCCGCGGCCTACCATTGCCTTCTGAAATGAGTATTTGTCTCCTGGCTCAGTGGAGATCCGTCCTGATCTTGCTGGGTCGCTGTATCCCAGCACCTAGCAGAGGCCCCTGCACACAGTAGGTGCTCCAAGAATGGGCATCTCAGCCCAGGCCTCTGCCTGCAGCCTGGACCCTCCACGGTGGGGGTATCGCCTCCCAGAACCTCCCGGAGAGACAGGTCCACTTCCGTGTGTTTCATCAACGGGCGTGTGTCTGTATGGGTTCGCACAGCTTTGCCACAAGGAGGTCCCGTCGGGATCTTCCCTCCCACCCGATGAGGGCGCACGAAGGAAGAGCTTCTGGAGCAGGCAGAGGGTCCGTGCCAGCAGTGTCACAGCCCCAGAGGGAGCCTCAGGACAGCCCTGCACAGCAGGAGAGGGAACAAGAGGACTATCCTACGGGTTATCTGGGGACACATGGGAGGACGCTGGACCCAGCTGGGGTGGCGAGTGCAGACCGGAACAGGCCACCAAGGAGCGGCAGAGGCCGGAGAGAAGGGCTCTTCCCGCCTTTTCATTCAGCCCAGAGGACTCAGGCCCCGCCAGCCTGCGGCGGCGGGAACCACGCCTGGAGGTGTGTGACCACCCGGGTTGGAGGCCTGGAACCTCCAGACACCAAAGGCTACCCGGGCCACCAGAGCAGGGCCCCAAGATGACAGTTACTGGGTCCCTTGGGTGCATCCCCATGCCCCGGACCTTGGTGTCCTCATCTGTGCCACAGGGACACGCCGGACCCTACCTCTGGCTAGTAATGGTCTCCATATATTCGGGTTCATAGCCACTGATAACACCCCCATAACCTCCGTTTTCCACTTGCGCCTGCCGTGGGGCGACTCTCAGCACGTGTTTGCCGAGGGAAGCGAGGAATGAAAGAATGAGGTGGCTGCCATGTGCCAGGCTTGTGTTACCAGGTTCAGTCTATCCTCTGAGGCAGGGGCTGGTTTATCCCCGTTTACAGATGGGGAAACTGAGGCCTGGAGAGAGGCAAAGCCTTCCCCAAGTATGCACTTGCTGGGGACCCGGGCCCTGGTCTCCCACCCAGCTTAGCCCAAGGGTGGGGCTTGGTGACGCCCGCCCCCTAAGGCTTTAGGTTCAGGTGCCTGTTGTGTGAGGGGCTAAAGTTGAGCAAGTTTTCCTACGGGACCCCCCAAACCCTGAAAGCGAACCCCAGTCCTGTGAGAGAGTGAGCTCCCCAAAACTCGAGGTATTCAAGCACAGCAGGGCTTTGAATGCTGAAGGAGGCTGTGTGGCCTTGGGGACGTGGCATGCCCTTCCTCTCTGAGCCTCAGTTTCCCCACCTGTCAACAGTTGATAATGACATCCTTGCTCAGGGGAAAGTGCCACACGAAGCACACAGACGTGTGGGGGGGGCATTTAGGAGGCCTCCCCACCCCCACCCCCTGCAGCCACCCCGGTGGCCTGCCCCGTCTATCCCAGTCCGGGGCGGAAAGGGTGTGACTCCTCCCCCACCACAGGTCTGGGGGCGGAGCCGCCGTGACCCCCAGCCCAATAAATCTGCAGCCCACAACCGCGAGCTGCCTCTTTAAGCCCCACCGCGACCTCCAGCTGTCAGCGCTTAGCCCGGCGCCCAGGAAGAGGGACAGACGCCCGCTGCACCAGGCTTCGGACCCCGAGTGCGGGCGAGGTGGACGCACAGACGGAGACGAGGGACAGGGAGGCGGGCAGCGACAGCAAGGACCTACAGACCCCTTGCCCAGGGAGCCCCCTCACGGCCTCCCCTCCCAGGGCGGGACAGGCGTGTGTCCCCCGCAGCGGCCGAGCATCCTGCCACTGCCCGCGCCGTCCCGCCGCCCCCGCCGCTGCCAGCTCCCGCCGCGTGGGCGCGGGCGCCGCACCTGCCCGCATGGAGGCCGTCGAGGCGGGCGCGCGGGCCACCTTCGGAGCCTGGGACTACGCGGTCTTCGCGCTCATGCTGCTGGTGTCCACCGGCATCGGGCTGTGGGTCGGGCTGGCTCGCGGCGGGCAGCGCAGCGCCGAGGACTTCTTCACCGGAGGCCGGCGCCTGGCGGCCCTGCCCGTGGGCCTGTCGCTGGCCGCCAGCTTCATGTCTGCCGTGCAGGTGCTGGGCGTGCCGGCCGAGGCCTACCGCCACGGCCTCAAGTTCCTCTGGATGTGCCTGGGCCAGCTGCTCAACTCCCTGCTGACCGCCGCGCTCTTCCTGCCCGTCTTCTACCGCCTGGGCCTCACCAGCACCTACGAGGTACCGGCAGAGCCCGCGCGGGACCTGTGTGACCCGCTGGGACCCCGGCGGGAGGGAGAGGCCCGGGGCTTTGAGCCTCCGCGCCGCGGCACGCAGACGGCTCCGAGGTGCCTTAGCAGGGAGCCCCAGGCAGACAGGTGGGAGGGTTCCGGGAAGAGGCCCCGGGCGTGGTGAGGGGCAGGAAGGAGGAAGAGCGGAGCGGGCGTCCCGGCTCTGGGTGGAAGCGCGGGGGGCAGGGCGGCCCGACCAGGCGTGTCCTTAGGAGTGGACAGTCACACGCCCACCCCCCACATGCCCGGGCCTGCGCACCCTCTGGCGGCGGTTCCAGACCCGGCTTCTCCGTTTTCTCCCACCTGGGGCAAGGGGGCCTGCCTCTCTGTTCGGGATTCCCAACGGTCCAGGCGGGATAATTACAGGACTTCCCTCCAGCCAGAGGGTAGAGCGATTAAAATCCGGACCTGTATTCAGTAGGCGGCTAATGCCATCAGCCTTGGGCTCTGTCTCTATTGCGTGCTTGCGGGCACGTCGGTGTACGCGGAGCAGTGGCTGTTCCAGGAGCCTGGGCTGGTTAGACACGAACGAGTGACAGGGCATGTGTGCACGCATGGGTCGGTCGTCCGGGGCACACGCCGCGTGCACAGGCACGGGGATCGCACGTGTGCACAGGTGTGTGCGCGCGGCGGGGTCCCCAAGGGCAAGAGTGTGGCGGAAGTGCCGCAGCCCAGAGAGCAGTTGAGGGACTGCAGAGGCCTCACCCAGGCGCGGGCCCGCCTAGGTGACCGCGAGCCCTCGGCTCCTCGTTGCAGTACCTGGAGCTGCGCTTCAGCCGCACCGTGCGGCTCTGCGGGACCCTGCAGTACCTGGTGGCCACGGTGAGTGGCCTCTGCCCTGCCGTAGCCCGGGGCAGAGGGTCCCGCCCACATGTCCGCCCCCTTGCCTCAGGGCCCCGCCCCCATCCAACGCGGATCTGCCCTGGCCCCCACATACACGTGTTCTGGTGCCCCCTCCCTCCCACACACCCCATCTGACCGGACCCCACCCCCACTGCACGACCCGGCCTATGCGCCCCGCCCACCTGCCGGGACCACCCCTCTCTAGCCCCTCTGTGCTCCCCGATTCGCCCGCACCCCCACCCCGTCCAGCCTCACGCGCCCCACCCTCCACCCGCAGACGCTGTACACCGGCATCGTGATCTACGCACCTGCGCTCATCCTGAACCAAGGTTGACCCTGGGGGGTCCGGGGAGGGACCCGGGAGGGGACGGGGAGAGGGAGGAGGGCCTAAGGCGGTGGGGACTAAGTTTGCGCCCTGCCCTTTTGCACAGTGACCGGGCTGGACATCTGGGCGTCGCTCCTGTCCACTGGGATTATCTGCACCTTCTATACGGCTGTGGTGAGGGGACCTGAGAACCCACTTCACACACGTAGGGGCTGTAGGCCCCCTGGGTCCCTTGTGGGGAGACTCTGGGTCAGCCGGTTCACTCTCTGCTCCCCTTCTCCCGAGGGACTCAGTTTCCTCGTCTTTATAACAAAAGGTGATCTGAAAGGCTTATTGCCCAGAGTCTCGAGATTATCCAGCTTCAGGCATGGCTAGATCCAGGGGCTCCAACAGTGTCACCTGGGCCTCTCCCTCCTCCCTGAGCTCCATCAGCTCCAGGCTTCCACCTCTTCTGGCTTCCTGCCCAGCAGAGAGTGGGGTGCGGGTTCAGCATGGGGCTGGCTATCACCCCAGGAGGCAGTGTCCATTTGGCTGGCTATCCGTGTCCAGGTCACAGCAGCTTGCTGGGCTGAGAGGCTCTGTTGCCTGTTTCTGGAGTGGCTGCGGGTGGCGTCAGCATTACCTGAATGAGAGGGGAAGGGGCTTCCCCAAAGAAAATTCCGGGGCGCCATGGGAAGGCAAAGGCATGGAGGGCAGCTGGGTGAAAACAACTAATGAGAATAGTTGCTGTAGCGACAAGAATAACGCAATAATGACTCGCTGAGCACGTGCGTGTGCCAGGCGCTGTTCCAAATCTTTTTCACTTATTAACTTATTTAATTCTCACAACAACAGCATGAGAAAGTACTATGATTAACCCCATTTTACAGATGAGGAAACTGAGGCAGAGAGGGGTGTCAGTCCCAGCCACAGCTGGAGGCCAGGGTGGGTTAGCCACAGCCAGTTCCCCCCATCTGAGCCCCCACCTCTGTCCCATCTTGCAGGGCGGCATGAAGGCCGTGGTTTGGACTGACGTGTTCCAGGTCGTGGTGATGCTGTCTGGCTTCTGGGTGGTCCTGGCCCGCAGTGCCACGCTCGCGGGTGGGCCCTGGCACGTGCTCCAGTTTGCCCAGAACCACTCCCGCATTAACCTGCTGGAGTGAGTGACAATGTGGAGGGACACGGCACAAGCATGGAGCAGGACTCCCTTCGTGCCCTGGGGGAAGCCAGCTAATGCCTCCTCCTCCAGGAAGCCTTCCCTGCTCCTCTCCCCAGCCTCTCCTGGCTCCCCCTCTCTGTACCTCTTTAGATTTCCCTAGCCCTCATCCCTCCACTGGGCCCAGGCCTGACCCTGGGGTCAGAGAGGGGGGTTTGTGTCCACCTCTGCCTAGCCCCCATCCCACACTGGGGGCTGAAGTTTCTCTGAGGTCCCAACTGGGAAAAAGAAAGAATCATTTTTGAATGCATACATAGATGAACAAATAATGAATTTTCGATCTGGCAAACTCCTACACATACCTCAAAACCCACTCCAAATATCCGCTTAAGGCCCATATGGTACAGAATGGCTATCTGGGGCTCTTGGGAGAGTGAAGTCAAGGTGACATCGTCACATGGTTGACTTGCCTTGTCCCCGCCAGCTTTGACCCTGACCCGAGAAGCCGCTATACATTCTGGACATTTGTGGTAGGCGGCACTTTGCTGTGGCTCTCGATGTACGGTGTGAACCAGGCACAGGTGCAGCGCTATGTGGCCTGCCGCACAGAGAGGCAGGCCAAGCTGTGAGTGTTCGGGGGGCGAGGTGGGGGCTTCTGGGACATGTTGCCCCCCACCCAGCCTGAAGCTGCCTCCTCAGCCTCAGGCCACCCCCTCCCCCCAGGGCCCTGCTCATCAACCAGCTGGGCCTGTTCCTGATCGTGTCCAGTGCTGCCGTCTGCGGCCTCGTCATGTTCGTGTTCTACAGTGGCTGTGACCCTCTCCTCACAGGGCGAATCTCCGCCCCAGACCAGGTGAGTCCCACCAGGCTCCTGTACCCACACCCCAGCCTCAGAGGATGGGGTGGAAGAGCATTCCTAGCAGAAGGAACAGCCTGTGCAAAGGCCCAGAGGCAGGAGAGAGCTCAGAGGAGGATCTGGGGAGAGTGGGGCAATGAGTCTGGGAGGCAATGGGCAGCCACGGGGGGTGTGCGCAGGGGAGGGGCACATTCGGATCTGGAGTCACAGAGACCCCCTGGGGGACATCAAAGAGGAGATGGAACCGTGGTGCGACATGAAATGATGATGTCCATAAAAACAGTAATGGCCAGCTCCCATGTCCCAGGCGCCTGCTCTGTGCCTCGTGCTGTTCCCTTCACAAACAGTTTCCGTCAAATCCTCCAAAGTGCGCTGAAGCCACGCCCCCACAGCTTCCACTTTACAGATGAGGAAACTGAGGCTTAGGGGAGAAGCAGCTGCCTGAGATCAGTGGGCAAGTCAGCGGCAGGAGCAGGGGCAGGACCCCGGCCCGGGTCGTGTCCCAGCTGGAGTTCTGCCCGCGGGGATCAGGGTCTGCGGAGGCTGCGAGGCCGAGGCCGTCCCACCTGCTGCCCTCCCCCGGGCTCAGATCCAGGACTGCCTGACCGTGCACCCTCAGCAGGGCCGTGCCTCCCCGCCTCACGTCCTCATCAGGAAAGTGCGGGTGACACGGGTCCTCCCTCACTGGATCCCAGGGCTCAGCACACAGCCCGGTGACAGTCCTCGGGTCCACGCAGTGGATCAACAAACCCACCTTCAGTGCCCCTGGGAGCCCTGTCTGTGCCGGGTGCTGGGGGCGTGCAGGGGCGGCGCAGACAGAAGCCCTGCCCGGGGAGCCTCTGTCCTCGGGCTGACCTCCGGCTCCCCCCAGTACATGCCCCTGCTGGTGCTGGACATTTTCGGCGGCCTCCCTGGCGTCCCCGGGCTCTTCCTGGCCTGTGCCTACAGCGGCACCCTCAGGTAAGCGGCCCGCTCACCCACACAGCCTTATCTGAGCCCCTCGGTGCCTCCTGGGTCCCTGCTGGCCATCCCCTGGGGACTGGGATATTCCGGACTTGTCCCCCATCCTCAGGCCCTGGGGGGCAGCTCAGGTGGGCTCCGGCAGAAGGCACACTCTGGACACAGGGACCCCGGCGGCGGGGTGTCACCTTGTTACCTGGCAGGGCCACACGTCACTCTCCTCTCTTCCTCCCCAAAACAAATGTTTACTGAGCATCTGTCATGGGCGGGTGCTGCTGTTCCGAATCCTGGGGCACAGCCGTGCCCGCACGGCCCCCTACTCCTGCCCGCCAGGCCGCATTCTGGGAGTTTCAAGTCTTCTGGGACTTCTGGCCACATGCCCTCACTCTCCCCTTTGCAAGTCTCCTGCTGTGGCCGGGGTCCCGTGAGCACCTCCCTCTGTAGCCGGAACTTGCCTGTCTGTCTTGGCTGTCCTTGGTCACAGGTGTCCTTAGTCCAGGGGGGATGTCTCAGGTCTGCAGGGCAGGAAGTAGGTGGACATCTCCTCTACTCCTGGGGGACTCGGTGACCATCACCTCTGTCCTTGGGCAGGGTGGGGTCCCGGCAGGCCCTAGAAGGGGCGTGGCCAATCTCTGTGTGTCCTGAGGACCCTCCCCCTGCGTTGCCCCGCCCCCAGCACGGCATCCACTAGCATCAATGCCATGGCCGCTGTCACCATGGAAGACCTCGTCAAACCACGGCTGCCAAACCTGGCACCCAGGAAACTCGTCATTGTCTCCAAGGGGCTCTGTGAGTTGAGGGGAGACCCGGGTGGGAGGCCAGGGCAGCGTGTCCCCGTTGACTTTGCCGCCTCCATCCGCTACAGCAATCGTTTATGGCTTGGCCTGTCTCATCATGGCGGCTTTGTCCTCGCTGCTGGGGGGAGGCGTCCTCCAGGTGAGCCCCCACCCCTACCCCACTGGGGCCTCCCCAAGAGGTGGCGTCTTGTTCCCATTGAACCGAGGCTCAGAGAGGGTCACACATGTCGGGGCAGAACTGGATTCTCCCTGACTCCTGAGGCCGGGCATTTCCTGCAGCCACCTGGCCTGGGACAGGGAGGTAGGAGGTGCCGGCGGCCGCGGCCTGGGGGCAGAAAGGGCCTCCCTGGCTTGGGGGTCGGACCACAACTGTCAGAGGAGAGAATCAGCATCTTTACCTCTAATGCAGGGGAGAGAGGCAGGAACAGAGTCCCCTCCCCTTTGGGGAAACTGAGGCACGGAAGCGTCTCAAGGCTCTTAGTGGAATTCCTCAGGTCTTGCTTTCCCAGCGGGTAAACTGAGACCCGGAGAGGTGGGGTGACTGCCCTCAGCCCCACCCCCACGACTCTCCCAGGGCTCCTTCACGGTCATGGGTGTCATCAGCGGCCCGCTCCTGGGAGCCTTCGTCCTGGGAATGTTCCTGCCCGCGTGCAACACGCCGGTGAGCGGGGTGGGCGGGGCGAGGGGCGGGGCGGGGCCAGGCCGCCCCTCCCCTGACGCCGGCTCCGCCCCCAGGGCGTCCTTGCCGGGCTGGGCGCGGGCCTGGCGCTGTCCCTGTGGGTGTCCGTGGGGGCCACGCTGTACCCGCCCAGCGCACAGACCATGGGGGTCCTGCCGTCGTCCGCCGTCCGCTGCGCGGCTCCTTCGGCCAACGCCTCCGGCCTCCCGGACTCGCTGCTCCTCGCTGCCCAGGCCTCCAGCAGCAGGTGACAGGCCGGTGGGGGGAGAGTGTGGTCAGGCCGGGCTCCTGGCCCTGAGCTCTGTCTGAATGAGAAGGAGCCTGGCTGGGAAAGCGCACTCCGGGCTGTGGGAAGGGCGAGTGCAAAGGCCCTGGGGCCAGACTCAGTTTAGAATGGTCCAGCCACTCTAAGGTTGGGGCAGATTTAATGGGACAAGGGAGGGGTAGGCGACATGGTGAAGCGAGAGGAATTTAATTTGATCCTGTTTTTTATTGAGACATAATTCACATACCATAAAATGAACTATTGAAAAGTGACTTTTAGGCTGGGTGCAGTGGCTCACGCCTGTAATGCCAGCACTTTGGGAGGCCCGAGGTGGGAGGATCGTTTGAGGCCAGGAATTCAAGACCGCCAGCCTAAGCAATATCAAGAGGCAGCAGTCTCTACAAAAAAAATACAAAAATTAGCCAGGCGTGGTGGCCTGTGCCTGTAGTCCCAGCTACTCAGGAGGCTGAGGCAGGAGGATCCCTTGAGCCCAGGAGTTGGAGGCTGCAGTGAGCTATGATCGCACCACTGCACTCCAGCCCGGGCCATAGAGTGAGACTCTGTCTCAAAAAATAAAATAAAATAAAATAAAGTGGCTTTTAGCGTAGTCGCAAGATTTGTGCAACCATCACCACTGTAACTCAACGTTATCGCCCCAAAAAGAAGCCCCGCCCCCATCAGCAGTCACTCCCCACTCCCCCTCCCCCAGCCCCTGGCAGCCATTGATCCACTTTCCGTCTCTGTGGATTTGCCTGTTCTGGACATTTCATATAAATGGAGTCACACAATACGTGGCCTCTTTGGCTCAGCACCACGTTTCCAAGGTTCGTTACCCACGCGGGGGCGGGTGTCAGTGCTTCATCCCTTTTTACGGCTGAAAACTGTTCCGTCGCGTGGACGGGCCACACTGTGTTTATCCACTCATCAGCTGACGGACTTTCGCGCTATCTCCACTCTGGCCACTGTGAATAGTGCTGGACACGTGCGTGTACAAGTTTTGGTGTGGACACGTTTAGTGTCTGCTGGCACATACCTAGGAGTGGGATTGCCGGGCCGCACGGTCATTCTATGCTTAACTTTTCGAGGAACCGCCAGACCGTTTTCCACACTGGCTGCACCATTTTACATCCCGCCAGCGGCGCACCAGGCTCCCGGCTCCCCCCCCGCCCTCGCCAACGCTCCTCACCCTCCACGCCGGCGGCTGGGGAGCGGCCTCTCATTGTCATCTGATCTGCATTTCCCTGATGACGAATGATGTTGAACATGCCACGTGCTTATTGGCCATCTGTATATCTTTTTTGGAGAAATTTCTATTCAAACCCTTTGCCCATTTCTTATTTGGGTCATTTGTCCTTTTTTTTTTTTTTTTCACTTTTTCTTCTTTCTCCGCAGCAGGTGTAGGCACTGGACAAGGGGGTATTGTGTGACTCCGCGCAGGCCCCCGTCCTGTCTGGGACATGAGCTGACACAGAGTCGGGACAGAGTCTCTGATGGAGTCAGAGAATGGATCATTTGTCTTTTTGTTGTTGAGTTCTAATTCACATATTTTTATATCTTTGTATATTCTCTCTTGGTGTCATAGCTAAGAAACTATTGCCTAATCCGTGCTCATCGATTTGGCAATAATCCATTCACACCTATGTTTTCTTCTGAGAGGTTAATTTGGTTTGATTCCAAGGGCAATAGGGAGCCACAGAGGGTGACAGGCAGTGGCCAGAGGTGGCCTGAGTGACATTTTAGTAAAGCTCCCTCTGCCTGTGTGTGGAGACAGCCTGGGGCTGCGGGGAGGTGGTGGGAGGAGAGGAGACCCGGCTGCTCCTCTCTGGGTGTGCAGTTACGGAGGGCTGGGCTGCGCTGGGACAGAGGGGACGGAAGGAAGTGGGTAGCTTGAGAGTGGCTTTTGCACATAGACGGGGGTGAAGGAGAAAGCCCATCTCATGCCCACCTCGCCCACCCCCAGCTCAGGAATGGACCCCAGCCGACCCGCCTTAGCCGACAGCTTCTATGCCGTCTCCTACCTCTACTACGGCGCCCTGGGCACGCTGACCACCGTGCTGTGCGGAGCCCTGGTCAGCTGCCTGACAGGTAAGCAGGGCACGTGCCCTCCTCAGAGGCCACCCCCTCCACCTCCCTGCCTAAGGAGCCACCGGGCAGGGAGGAAGGACGCTCCCATCCGCCAATGGCCGCTGCAGGCCGGACACATTCGCACCCTGTAAGCAGCATCCCCGTCACAGCGACCCCGCGCCTCGCAGACCTGTCCTGTTTGCAGAAGCAGAAACTGAGCACCCCCCCCCAGCGCCTCCTCCCTGGAAACTGAGTCCTCCCTAGAGGACGTGGGGTGCGGCTGCCAGGCGCTGTCCCCGGTGCTGAAATATCCTCTCCTGGAGGGCACGGCCATTCCGCGCCCCTCTGGGAATCCCGAGTCCCCCGGAGAAGCGGCAAGGGCCCAGGAGAAATCAGTAGTGACAGCAGCACCTGTTCCCACTTCCCGTGTCTCCGATCTGGCGCTGAGCAGCCAGGCCTCAGTGGAGCCTCCTCCAGGCCGGCAAGTGCTCGACACCGGGGAGTGGAAGCATCTCACAACTGCTCACTGCCCCGCAGCGGGTTGCTGTCAGAGGTGGCAGCGGACCCCATCAAACCCGGTCACCCAGGGCTCTCCTCTCTCCTCCCCAGGGCCAGGTCTCCAGCCCCCGCGGCCCCTTCACTAAATGCAGCCGCTTTGTCTCCTCTCAGGCCCCACCAAGCGCAGCGCCCTGGGCCCCGGCTTGTTGTGGTGGGACCTCGCTCGGCAGACAGCATCGGTGGCCCCCAAGGAGGAAGTGGCCATCCTGGATGACAGCTTGGTGAAGGTCAGTCTCAGGCCGGGTTCCCAGAGCAAGAGGCGGGGGGTGGCTTTGGGGCGTGGCCATAGCTCGGGAAGGATGAGACCTATCACTGTCCGTCCCAGCCTCTCGTGGCCTCCGGCGGCGGAAGGGCTCCCTGAGGAGATGATTCATCCTTAATCGGGTTTTGTTATCGCCTTTTACAAGGAGCGAGCTGTCCATTTCTATGGTATCTATTTTTACAGTTACTTCCCATCTTTGGCAGGTGAAACTGGTTTGCCGTTAGAATATTGATGTGAAGACTATTCTTAAAATAAAATGACTTAATTCCAAAGGGACTCGACTTAGAGAAAATCTTACATAAGAAACAGCAGAGGGTAGACCGATTTCGGCCAAAGCCATGTGGTTGCTCTGTGAATTCCCAGAGTCTGGGAAACGCTGTCCCTGGGGGAAACTGATCCCAGGCCTGTCCCTGCTTTGGATTCATCCCCTCATTTATTGAGCACCTGCTGTGTACCCCATTCTGCTCTGAGCGGGGGTCCGGGCCCACCATCTAGCAGGGGCAGGTGGAAGCTAAAGAGAGAAACAAGGAAGATAACCAAATGGGATGCTTGACGGGGAGCAACTTTAGCCAGGACAGTCGGGGGCTGCATCTTGGAAGATTCGCTCTGAGTGAGAGGGAGCCAGCCGTGGGGAGATCTGGGGGGGCGGCAGAGCCCGTGGAAAAGCAGGAACAGGCTTGACCGTGGTGGGTGGGAGAGAAGGATTTTGGCTGAAGGGTTTTACACTCCCTCCAGCTGCCTGGGGGGGAAATACTTACTGTTCTTGCAGGGGAACAGGCAGAGAGGAGGGAGGCAGCCAGAGCAGGCATCCGAGCAAGCACTGACGGCCTGGACTGAGGGTGACACGTGGGTGGAGAAGAGAAGTGGGCGGAGGTTGTGGAGGCAGAGGGGACAGGACTGGCCGATGCACTGGACAAGGGGTATTGTGTGGCTCTGCTCAGGCCCCGTCCTGTCTGGGGCATGAGCTGACACAGAGTGGGGACAGAGTCTCTGATGCAGTCAGTCTATTCCCTTCCCCCCAGGGTGCTGAAGAACTCCTCCCTGGAACCAAGAAGCCCTCTTGCTTCCTGCCCACCGATGAGAACCAGGTGGTCTTCCTGGGGCAGAAGGAGCTGGAGGGAGCCAGTTCCCAGAACCCCCGCAGTGGACGTGATGGTGACACTCTACGGGAGACAAACCTCTGATGGTGGGGTCAGCCCGGGACTGACCTCTGGGATGGAACCTCACAGACGCACCAATCCCAGGCCATGGGCCAATGGTCTTGGGCTCTGATTGGCTGGACTACCTTGTATGCAAAGGAGCTCAAGACTGCTCATTTGCATACAGGAAGTCATTTCGTCCTGCCAGCCACCTGCTTCTAGCCACCCCAACCGTATATGCTGCATCCCTGCCCATCCCCCAAACAAGGCCGGATTTTTCTCTATATACAGTGAAAGATGTTGGAGTCTCCTCTGGACATGGGAAACCTCCGCATCCGACATCAGGGTCTGAGAAAGACCCAGCTCTTCCCTAAAACGTGTTTAGCCTTAGCAAGGATTTTGGAAGTCTTCGGGCCCAGTCTCTGTGCCCCCTTTCACAGGCAGAAAAACTGAGACTCAGAAAGGGGTAGCGACTTAGTCAAGATCACACAGCAATTCTGACACTCACTATAAGTTGGACACCAGCTCTCTGCCCTCCACCCCTTCTCCATTCTTCTCCCTGGGGCAGGGGAGGAGGTGAGTCAGACCCGGTGTGGCCTTTGCTCACACACCTACCATGGCTCCCATTTTCCTGAGGGGGGCATCCTCTGCTCACCTGGCAGTGGAAGTCCCTGTACTGGGTTGAACCCCAAATTCATTTCCACCTGGAACCACAGAAAGTGCACTTACTTGGAAAGTGCAATTAAGGTGAGATCACACTGGAGTGGAGAGGGCCCTGAATCCGACGACTGGTGTCCCTACAAGAAGCGGAGAAGAGAAACAGAGACACGCACAGGTAGGCCAGGCGAAGACGTAGGCAGAGGCTGGAGTGATGTGTCTAGGAGCCAAGCAACACCAGGGACTGCCAGCAGCCACCAGGAGACAGGCATGGAACCGACTCTTTCTTAGGCCTTCAGTGGGAGCAGGGCCCTACTGACACCTTGATTTCAGACTCCGGCCTCCAGAACTGTCAGAGAATAAAAGTCTGTCGTTGTATCCACCCGGCCTACAGTGATTTGTTAGGGCAGCCACAGGCGACACACATGCCCCTCGCCAGCCACCTCTCCCCAGCCCTCAGAGCCCTGGCCCTGTGCAGGCTGTTTTGATCCGATACCTTTAGATTTGGACTTGAAATTGACCGTTACAATTTTAAATTAATGACTGAGTAACATGAGAATCAGAGTGTCCATCTGTCTGCGGTGCTCACTCAGAACAGAGCCCGAACCTGGGGTGGCAGAGGCGGGAGGCGTAGGGACGGGCTAAGGCTTCCCCGAGTGGGCAGAACGAGCCCATCTCGCTGCTCTTTTGAGGCTCTCCCGTGGTGCTCCTTGCATGGACAGTTCATTCCTTGGTTCTGCCGAGTCGAATTCCGCAGTGCGGATGGAACCACAGTTGTCACCCATAACGCCAGTCGAGGGACATTTGGGTTGTTTCCAGCTTTGGCTGTCACAAATAAGTTGCTAGGAACATTCATGTGCAGGACTTTGTGTGACATATGCAGGGGCTCCTCGACTTACGACGGGGTCACCCCGACAAACTCATTGTAAGTTGAAAATATTGTAAGTCAAAAATGCGTTTAATACATCTAACCTAACAAACCTCATAGCTTAGCCTAGCCTACCTGAACTGTGCCCAGTGGGCCAGGCATAGGGGCTCACGCCTGTAATCCCAGCACTTTGGCAGATTGAGGTTTGAGACTAGCCTGGACAACATAGTGAGACCCCATCTCTATCAATAATATAGGAAAAACTAGCTGGATGTTGTGGTCTGCGCTTGTAGTCCCAGCTACTTGGGAACCTGACGTGGGGAGATCACCTGAGCCCAGGAGGTGGGGGCTGCAGTGGGCTATGATTGTGTCACTGCACTCCAGCCTGGGAGACAGAGCGAGATCCTGTCTCTAAAAACAAAACAAAAATATGTGCCCAGATCATTAGCCTACAGGCTGGGCAAAATTATCTAAAACGAAGCTTATTTTATAATAAAGTGTTGAATATTCTCATATAATTTGTTGAATACTGCACCAAAGTATGGTTTCTATGGAATTCATTTGGAATTCATTTCTATTCATTCATTTCAACCTCACCGTCGTAAGGTTGAAAACCATTAAGCTGAACCACTGGAAGTCAGGGACTGTCTGTCCTTTGATTTCTCTTGGAGTAAATATCTAGGCATGAAATGGCTGGGGTTGTTTCTGGACTTTCTATTTTGGTCCATTCGTATATTTTTCTTTCATTCATTCTTTTTTCTTTTCTTTTCTTCTTTTGAGACAGGGTCTTGCTCTGTCATCCAGGCTGGAGTGCAATGGCGTCATCACAGCTCAGCTGTGCAACCTCCGACTCCTCTTGGCTCAGCCTCCCGAGTAGCTGGGACTACAGGCACATGCCACCACGCCCAGTTAATTTTTTTCTTTTTTTTTAGAGACAGGGTCTCGATATGTTGCCCAGGCTGGTCTTGAACTCCTGGCCTCAAGTGATCCTCACAGTTCAGCCTCCCAAAGTGCTGGGAGGTGTGAGCCACTGCCCCTGGCCCGCTGGTGTGTCTCTCTATCCTAGGTTTTCTCAGACTTGGCATTACTGGCATTCGGGACCAGATCGCCTTCTGTGGCGAGGTCTGTGCTGTGCACTGTGGGATGCTCAGCAGCACCCGCGGCCTCCACCCCGGATGCCAGAAGCACCACCCCCACCTCCAGCTGCGACAACCAAACCTGTTCCCAGACATTGCTCAGGTCCCAGGGGGACAGAATCATTCCTTGTTGAGTGTCAGTATTCTATGCCCAAAAAGAATCAAGAAGGATACAGGTAGGGGTTCTTTGCCCATGGTATGTATTTAATTTTTAAAGTGATTCATTTTTATAGTCCGAAGAGAAAAATACTTTGAAATGATTGTCATTTACTGAGCGCACACCACGTGCCAAGCAGTTTACTTGTGTTACATGTGTTGATGTTTATTGAGCAGAGACTCGGTAGTACACATTTTTTTGAAGTATACTCATTTATTACTTTTTAATTAATAGCCTATTTTTAGAGGAGTTTTAGGTGCACAGTAAAATTAGGCGGAAGGTCCAGAGAGCTCCCATATTCCCCTTCTGCTCTCCCCCACCCCCAAAATTTCCTCTCTTGCTATCATCTTTCATCCGATCGGTATATTTGCTACAAATGACGAGTGAATAACTGATACGCTGTTATCAGCCAAAGTCCACAGTTTACATTGGGGTTCACTCTGTGTGTCGTACCTTCCACCGGCTTTGCCGAGTGCACAGTGACAGGCATCCACTGTCACGACATCCCACAGGGCAGTTTCACTGCCCTAAAAACCTCGAGTTCCATCTACCTTGGTTTGGCTTTCAGCCACTTCCTCAGTTCTATTCATTTTATTTATTTGTTTATTCTTTTTGATTTTCTATAGATGATCCTATCATTTGGTCTCGATTCTTTGTCTTATCTTACTGCATTGGCCGCTGCCTCCACATCGGCATTAAACATTAGCCATGATTTGGGGCATCCCTACGTCACCCTGAGATATGTTCTCCTCTCCTGTTTCACCGTCCAACGTGATGCAGGCGGCTCCTTTCCAATCACCATCTTGGATCAGGCTAATTTCTTCCTATTCCCCGTCTACTACTAATAAGAACTTTCTTAAAAATAGGAAGCGGTTGCCGAATCTTACCCGATGTTTTTCCACCATGGTGACACGGTGACATGATCATGTGGTATTTTTCTCCTTCCATCTTTCCATTGAATACATGAAGCTTTCTGAGGCTGAACTTTCCTTGCCTCTTTGGAATAAAACCCTGCATGCTCCTGGTATGGTGTCTTAAAGCTCAGCTGTGCTCAACTTGCTGATATTTATTTAGCAGTTTTGCACGCACCAAGGCTCTTGACCTCTTCCTGGCATCTCAGTACCCTGCAGCTGAGCTGGCAGAATCCTGGAACCTTCGCGTGAGCTCAACGGGGTAACTTCAGTCCAGCAGCTTCCCAGCCACCCCCCGGAACTCCCCCCGAGGGGCCCGCTATGCTCCTCAGCACCCTGGGCAGCACCTTTCTTCCTGCGCCTCCTGCACCCTCCTCACGCCTCCTAGAACAGTCCCGCGACTGTTCTAAACAGTCCCGCGACTGTTCTAAACAGTCGGGAGGCAGGGCCCTCCCCGCCAGGACGAAGGCTTGTCTCTGCCCCCTGCTGGTGTTGGCATCCGCAGTTTAGGCTCAGATCCAGGCCCTAAACTCCTGCTCATTCTGGTGCAGCAGGGGAGCTGGCAAGAAGCCAGGCTGAACAGATGAAGGGACGGGGAAGGAAGCAGGTAAGTTTCCACCAGTCCACCTCCACCCGCCTCCTCCCCAGCTGTGAGGCTGCATCAGCTTCAGGTTCAGCTGGCTCCAGGCACACCTGGGGCACAGCAGTGCAAGGATAGAGGACCCTCCTGTCCTTCCAAGAACCAGGTCACGGACTGGGGCTAGGATTGGGGACTGCCCCCAAACCAGTGGATCCTCAGAAGGTAGCCCACCTCATGCCATTCCCACCCAGTATGGAATCCTGATGGAATTGCTGTGTGTCCTGCAGCCAGTCGCTGCCCCTCTCTGGTTGCCAACATCATTTTCTCCAAGTCCTGACCTGGCAATGCACTGTTTATGGAGCTGGCCAAATCCACAGTTGCCCCAGCAACGCAGAGCCCTCAAATATGAAAAAAAAAAAAAATCTAGAAAGGGAAAGATTTTCCTTTTCCTTAAAAAAAATGAATATTGGATCACATAATTCACATTACCCTGGACATTGCTTTTTTCCTTCAAGAGTAAATCATAGAAATGTTTCCTGATGAATAAATAGGAATCTGAATCATCTTTTATTTTTAATTTGGCTTTTCTTTTTTTTTTTTAATCACAAAATAGCTTAAAGAGCCAGTTTGTTCTGGAAGGCTTGTCATGAAAATCTGCAGTCCCCAACAGGCTCTTGTGTTTGAAAAAACCAAGAAAAACATCGACACAGTCGTGGAAGAAATATGAACGGTGTTG